GGTGTAAAAAATACTGAAAAATTTAATTTTTGTCAAATTCAATACTTTAGTATTTTTTGACCGTGTGACGAAAGAGTTGGAAAATCTAACGAGTGTTTAACGGTATCATTACAGTTTGGGCTGATAACAAACGATAAAATCATGAATTGAAACTTGATATTGTGAGTATTGCTCGCCTGCGTCCTAGACGGTGAGACATCTTTACCGCTCGGCAACCGCGGCCCTTCCTTATGTCAATTAAGTAAGTCCCACATAATATACAGTCAGATATATCTAAAACCAGGGGATGACATGCAACTTTATTCTAAAGCTCATTATTAAGACCAAAATAGTTAGAATTATTATTTTTAAAATTATCTTCCGTTTCCAAAAAAAACAAACTATTTCAAATTGAATTCACCAAAACATATCTATAAACTTTATTTATTTTAGAACAATTATGAAACAAGTTATTTCAACTTATATGAATCCATCTTGTTAACCCGGATGTGAGCGCGGGGGGGGGGGGGGGGGGTTAGTGTGGGAGGAAACTGGAGTACCTGGAGAAAACCGAAGTGGAATATTTATGTGTGCAGCTTGAAAAGTCATATACATAACTAGTCTTGTTCAACCAGACGCTTGATCACTTGTGATTCGGCGTAGCTAGAGTCTGGTTGAGCGAGACTAATACATACCCGGGAAAAATTTCAATGGACGATCCCCTACGACCTGCAATGGCCCTCCCACGGCGAACGCGATGTAGTCACAGGCGTAATATGCCCCCGCGCCCAAACCGAGATACGAGCCACCGTTCCACACATACTCTCGTATTGCCGTCGCGCCTGAGTCACCAAGTGCCCGGATGAATCCTCTGTCAAAGCCGCCTGGCATGACAAAAGCAGCAGCAGTACTTGCCCATGTTCCTAAACGGGAAAACGATTCAAAATATTAAAAATCCTTTTTTTTCGTAGTTTGGTTTCACATTTCTCCATTATGTAATTCCTTTCTGCTATATGATATTTACATGAAATTCAATTACTTAGGAATGTGGTTCATTATTAATTGCTACGTGTATGAACAATAAATGCTGAGTTTATTTTGAACACAAGCAGTAATTGAAAACTTATTTTTGCGAGCTTTCGAAAACGTATGTTTCCTTTGTCAAGCGAGCTGCATACCTTTGATGATTTCATCTGCAGTTATCTTGTTAACAGTATACACTCCCGGCTTGAGGCTTTTCTGTAAAGACTGGATAATAATCTCACTGTCGCTTTCATCTGCCCCTTGCCCGGAGTAAAGGTAGATGGTAGACATCATTGTAACGAACTGAAAGTGAAAGATTTACTTATAAATATCTTTGAAATGAATGAATGAATGAATGAATAAAAGAATGAATGAATGAATGAATGAATGAATGGGTGAATAAAAAACACAGCTAGCTGTACCATTTCACAGATTGCAGTAGCAAATCATAGATATCTGATCATTGGTTTTTGTGTATAGCAGTCTCAAGTTAAAATTAGTCCGATCACTTTGGATTGTGCACAAAAGCCGACATCCTCAATATCCAGGGGTTACGCTCAGATTCAGATACATATTGTTTTATTCCTTGTGTAAGACACATCGGAGAGTATACATTCAATGACATACAGATAGTACAGTATATTACAAATACGACAAAATGACATACATCATCATAAGAGACAGCCTTTTACACTGAAATACACCATTATCGTAAGGTATGATACAGTGAAATCATAACAGTAGTATATTACAATGATAATAATAAACTATGACATCTTTCAATGACGCGCTCATTTACGCCCTCTGCACAAAAGCGTATGTGAACGCAACACCTGGATATCTAAGATAAAAAGCTGAACATGCGTTCAATAGAATCTCGTAAGCCAGGACAGTTTGGTAAGTGTATGAATGTTTTTACCAGGTCTTATATCGTGAAACCTTGGACACCTTGATTTATCAATTCCCATCCAGAGTTGTCGTACCTCACACCCGCTGACACAGTGTAAGGAACGTTAACTTTGGGTAGAGATTATTTGGTTTAAGTGTAACAGAGCTTCTTCAGTCAGGAAATTCCCTCTCTCCCTCTAAAATTTACAAATACATGTATCCCTATAGTGGGGCTCCACACTTTCAGCGCTTGACACGGGCCTTCCGACCGTTGATCACGTCTTTGGAGCGAGGATTTTACAGAAATAACTTAAAAATATATGTTCAAACTTCATGGATACACCTCTGCCTATAATATATAGAAAATACAGGCTTTGTGGTGGTTTGTTTTTACTGGGAACTATCTAGCTTCCTGGGGGTCCCATACCCCTTCCCCCCTCCCCACCCCCACCTCTCTCTCTCTAGCTTCCTGTGGGTTCAATAACCCCCTCCCCCCCCCCCCACACACATACACACACACATACACACACACATTTGGGTTTCGCACCTGTACCCTGACCTAGAGGGGATTCACGCCTTATACGCTCTAGCAAACGGGCATCCCACTAGACAAAGAAATCTTTTCAAAATTCATTGATCTGCCCCTGTTCATTATTCAAAGGAAAAAAAACTCAATTTTGTTCTTTATTTACTTGATTTTTCCAGCTTCTAGGAGACTTCGCCCCAAACCCTCAAATCGGGGCACCGCACCTGGATCCTCTTTGTTTAACCTGGAATCCGCGCATGTTGCGCCCATATAATAATATACAACATTTATATAGCGCCCTATATAATTTGTAAAATTACTCTAAGGCGCTTTACAACATATGGATAATAGTAATGGTTATAATTGTGAAAACAAACAACAAAGGCTTGCAATCACTTTCATACATTTAACAAGCAATGTGCACATAATTGAACAAATAAAAGGGTGGTATTTACATGACGTCTTTGCAAAGATTCTAAAATGCAGACGTGAAGAGATGAGTTTTTATGTCCCTCTTGAACTTGGCCAGGGTATTTGACTTCCTAATAGCAGATGGTAAGCTATTCCACAACGTAGCCAAAACCCTCCAAAAGCATCTGTTTCCGTAGGTCACAGTACGAGATTTTGGGACACACAACAAAGATTCTGACTCCGACCGCAGTGATCTTGACGGCTGATACCGGGTAACAAGCTCCTGTAGTTACTGAGGAGCTGCTCCATTCAGTGCCTTGTATGTGTATACCAGAATTTTGTACTGCGAACTGTATCGTACAGGTAACCAGTGCAACGAATAAAGCGCAGATGTGATGTGCTCCGAGTAGCTAGCCGTGCTGCAGTGTTCTGGACCCTCTGCAGACGACTAGTTAGTTTGTCAGATATACCACAGAGATGGGCGTTACCATAATCCAACCGAGAGGTAACAAGTGAATGCACCAAAATCGTGCATGCATATGCAGTTAGAAACTGCCGAATAAAGCCGATGTTCCTAATCTGGTAGTAACAGGATTAGGCAATAGCGTTCATTGATTCTCAATGTTCAGAGAACTGTCAAAGTATACCCCTATATAACTGAAAATACTGGATCCATCCCTGAATGTTACCGTGAACATACAATAGATATAAAGTGGAGCGTAGGTAAATGGTGGTGTGACGAAAATGACGTACAACATTTAAAAGCGTCTCTCATCTTATTCTATCAATAGGTTTCTATATATATTCTGCTAATTTCTGAGCGATCGATGACACGGTAGCGATCGACCGGTTGTGCTAGCTACCTTATATATTTCTGTTAATATTCCAGAAAAGTTATATACTATACAGGCATTACCTGGTATATATATGTGTATACGTGTCATGCAGTATGCTAGCGCTGTCGTCTGCTTTTAATATTTAGTGTACTGAGAATATGGAAATGTGTATTGGTTGAAAGGGAAGAGCTATGTGTGGTAGTGACGTTCTTTAAACAGCTAGGACATTTAAAGACCTATCAACTTATAATTGTAGGAAATAAACCTCACACCTATATAGAGAGACAAGATAATTAAAACTATAATAATTCGTACTTACATTAATCCGGTTATCTAGATATCAGAAAGCCTCTCCAGCAACCGCTTAGATGAAAATAAATGCGAATGTAGATTACGTATACTACATATATCACACTAAAGTGAAACTAGAATTTCCTCTGGAAAAACCAGCCTCAATGGGTGTTACGGCGTTGATGATTCACCGAATTACGCTGAAAGTGTTTGTGTATACACGTAACACATACAAATAGGTCGGCGCTGTCAAACACTGACAGGACAATGAAACTAGATTCATTTTCACGTGAATACATCATGGGTTAATCGAGTCATTGTCGTGTCTGTACTTATATCGTTGGAACACATTGCATTTGTCTCTTTAAATAGCTCAAGCTAGTATGAGTCCAACTTGCATTCCAGATATCTATGCATATATTGCTTGAATATCTCCATAGCGTAACGAGGCAAGATTTGAGGGTTTTCGGCTTAAACCGAGGGCCTAGATATTAACTTGTGGTAACTTTTACTGTGGTGTTGAGTTTTTTATTTGAAGAATTTGTGCATTTGACAAGATATATCAATGAGTGTGACTTTAAAAACACCAACCTTAAATAATGCTTATTTAAATTCTTGATCGAAAAACGCTATATGGTAAATATAGTTGCCTACAGTTGATAAGTAAGGGCCGTTGTAATGAGGGATGAATCACGCAGTGAGCAGACTGTGACTCAATCTCTCAATTAAGGGTTGTCGTTCCTTACACTCACTGACACATTGTAAGGAACGTAGAGATTGGCTGTAACACTGGGGACATCCTCTATATCCAGGTGTTGCGCTTACGTACGCTCTCTGCACCCCTGAGATGTCATAGCAAAACTGAAGGCACGAGGATAGCTGTTTGATTGGTCTCAGGTGAAAAAAACTTGACCATTCGCTTTTACCGTTAAGCGACCGCGAGATCGTTTTGATGAACATCAAAGGATCGAACTAGTCTTCTTGTCTCATCAATAAGGTGTATACGATCGAAGTATTGTAGGATACCAAACACAAGCAAAAGTACATTAGTTTGTGCACGCGGCTCTAGAATATGAAAGGCTTGTTTTGATTGGTCGACTCAATTATTCAAAGCACACATTCACGTGTGTAGACGACAGCACGGAGAGCAAGATGGCAGCCAGTGTCAACAAGTTTCTGTCCGATATGGATCCGGGACTTGTCCCATTTAGGGACGATTTTTTAAAACTTTCCGTCACAAGTATGACGACAATGAGGTATTTATTGCCCGGGGATTTACACTACATGAACCTGCCATTCGTTTTCAAACGTATGATAATCGACCACATCATAAAGTTGCAGACCCCGGAGTCAAAATCGAACCTGAAACTGGACTTGGCTAATTGTAATAGATACTCAGAAGTCAAATTACTTCAGACAATGCGGTTATGACGTGTGAAGTTGCTGTGATCGGGGACATTTATCATAGTAACGTTTTTGAACTGTACGTCATACTGTACAAAGCAGTCATTATACAATATGTCTACTTCAAGTGTTCCGTTGTATACAAGTTTTCTGAGCTTACAAATAAAAACAAACGACACGTGTAAGAGCTTAAATATGTCTTCTATTATATGTATATTGCTTGTAACTGTTAACGCTAATTTATTGGTTTAAAAAAAAACAAAGAAGATGATCCGTACCTCAGCTGTAAGTACACGGCGAAAAACTTTTGACAGGCGCCGTGTAACCTCTAACTGCCCATAGCTGATGTTCAAAGTTCGGATTTAGAAAAAGTATAATGTGTTTACATACATTTGAATGTTCAGCAGGGTCCAATAAATGTTCCTTTCCATAAATCCATGATTAAATGAGAAGAATTTGGTGTCAAAGACATACAAAAAAAAAATGTTCAAAGTGAAGCAGACAACATTTGCCATGATTTTCCGGTGAACACAAAAACGGAATACATGTGATGTTTAACAAGCGAAATACAAACAAACTCCATATCGTTTCGTTCCGTTTGAAATTCCCCCTGCTATATTGTACTAACCCAGTAAGCCATGTTTTAGAAGTAGGTCAGGGAATCCTACAACGACATGGACACATATTTTGAGTGTTTTATTCCGTAATATACTATATATTTGTGTCTGTGGCATACATATGGGATCCATATCACATGAACCGTGAGTAGACATCGTTGTCATGAACTGTGAACCACTTAATTGAGTTATTTCACTGTAAGATATACACGTGTTATCAGTCCACGTGGTCGGATGAAAACAGCACACTTACGTTGCTCTGTCCCGGGCCAATCAGAATCGTTGTTAGGCTGCACGTTTGGCAGTTCCAATGACGACATTCTAGTCACTAATAGCGCAGTACAATACTGCAATACTCTGATCGTATACACTTGGACTTTAACCGCTGTAACGCATTTAATCTGCATCATTTAATAATTTTTGGAAATGTTTTAAAATTGAATTACTGGAACAGTAACAGATAACTGTTGGTAACAGATCTATATGTAACTGATTCATTATTGTTTAAGGAACCTAGCTCGTACTACTGCCAAAAAATGCCACTACACATTGAAAAGTGTTTTGGCCAGCATGCATAGCTTTGATCTGTCATTATGAAAAGAAAAGAAAACCTTACGGGATTTTTATAAAAATATATATATATATAAATATCACAAAATATAATCAATAACAGTGTTATGAGTGTAAAATGTCACCGGGGTTAGACCGGGATTCGAACCTTGTACGTCACATTGTTTTTTATACTACCGCTCTAACTGACTGAGCTCCATATGTACCTGATCAACGGAAATGTCTAACCCAATGGTGCTATGGTTGTATCCAAAACGATATTGAGGGGACCCCGCTGTAAAACCAGAGTACAGTGGGACAGGGACCACTAAGTGTTTTCATGATAAAACTTCAGGAACTAAAACTATTTATCTTTGATTACAACTTGCACTTGCATGCGGGGATTAAGAAAAAGACCAAACCTGCTGTTAACCACTGCATTGATCGTACGAAAAAGTAACAGGCGACTAATGCAGGAACCCCCTGCAGAATTTGGGATTTTATTTTGTTCTTTCTACTTAGGGACATTAAAGCGACCAAAATAAACATGCTGCTCCTATTGCATTGATATGGATCTTAATGTTTCATTCTAATGCTTGGCTATACCTCAATTGTGGCTGTAATATTAAACGTTCGCCCAGATGAGGAAGGCAATGGGTTCTGTCCCCAGGCCGGGACATACCAAAGTCCTATATTCCCTGCTTAACGTTCAGCATTAAGGGTAACGGCAACAACTTGATCACCCGTTGTCAGTATAACGTGACGTACGGAATTACGTGTCGAGTGCCTTCGTCATGACATTTCATTGACGTAGCACTATAAAGTTGGTATCAGATCCGCGCTATCACACGGATGCAAATACACAACATACCCTGTCTCCAGCACATACACACATGCACGCATACATTACGCTCACAGAGGCACGTCCTAAAATGACCTTAGCTGTTGATGGGAAGTTAAACTCTATAAAACCAAGCCACTTCCTCTCCTTCATCCATGTTGAATACCAAACAGAGTGTCAAGGTCACTTTTTGATTCTTGTTTACGTTGTATCGTGCTGTTCAGTTTTAGAGTTATATCACTAAAATTGTCCTCTTAACTGAACGATTTTCAACCACAAAGAATCATGATAAGGCTTAATAGGATATTATACATGGGCATTTTTGGGGTAATTGGGTTATATGATACATGGTCTGGAGAGCATGTACGTGTATGTATTACCTTAATGGCATTGTCTATGCTGTCGCGACTAATCTCTTCACACACATGTTGAATAATAATGTATTTTTGAACTGATCGACCTTTTCAAAACACTATATTATACTACATGAAATGCAAAATAAAATGTTATTTTATAAATCATTTAAAAAGCTCTGTAAAGACTAGCACTGCCTTGTTATTGTATACATTATATATAAAGCGCTGCATCGATTTAAAAGTCTCTTGTTATTGCATAAATATACATAAAGCGCTTAAAGTGTGGAGCCCCATTATATAAGGGTACATGCATAGTCTAACTGACCGTATTCTACCACAGTAAACGAACCACAATTCACTGTCAAGTAATCCAGAGTCTATCAACAAATAACGTTGGGGGGTAATAGCATTTTGATGAGCTTTTTACACAAAAGCTATTCTTACACAAAAGCTATTCTAAAATTGTTTTGTAACAAGTTTAGCAAATAATTTTCATAAAATATGTTGCTGGTATTGGAGGAAAGCAGAATAAAAAAATAAAACTATAGAGTCAAACAGGTGATCGGATAACTACTCACGACCGATCGAACAATCAAACATAGGTGAAAGGCGAGTGGGCTACATGCATTTTTAAAGTTATACAACGGAAAATGGATATTTAGTGTTTGACCATAGTCTTCATCAATCTACATCTTCGAAAACTTTATGTTGTAAATTTGTCCGTCAGCAGTCAACGTATATCACAGAGGTCATGATATTCGGAGCAAATAATGCTTGATTACCGAATCAAGTGCAATTTGTAAACACCTTACGGTGGGGACACAGGGATGTTACTATCAAGAAAGGGATAATTCACGATCGGAAAGTCGAAATCGTCCCTCTTATCGTACAGTTTAGTAATTAGTTTCTTGTTGGTGATGTTATAAGTAAAGATCGATGCAAATGGCTGAAGTAGAAGTGTCTGTAGTGTTGTTTTTTTTTATTTAAAGCCCAGGAGGGTATATACGATCGACCTGGTCAATTCATTTCTTGATATATGTAACAAATTTAAGTCCATCAACGCTAGCCAAGGGTTACGACCCGGTAAGCTCCGTACGAGCCGGTGAGTACCGGATCGTTACCCTTGGCTAGTGATGAAGATTGAAGTCATCTTTTTATCCCCCCCTTTCACCGAAACGGGGGATATTAATTTGGGTTTGTCCGTATGTCTGTCTGTCTGTCTGTCACGCTTCGTTTCCGTGCAATAACTCTGCAACAAATTTTAACCTATTTTCTTCAAACTTGGTAACAGGTTTTAACACTTTAGGGGCTCGGTCAAGTTCGATGACCACTTTCAGTGGACTTTATTTGGCTGAGTAATGGCCCCTTGATTAACGAAAACCTTCATGATCTGCAGTTTCCGCTTAATAACTCTAGGAAATATTAG